CTGCTCTAACCAGTACCTTTGGTGTGAAGGCAAGAGCTATCTTAGCAGTTGCCTTTTCTTCACTATCTACAAAGCAATTCTGAAGTCAGGATTCAAATGAAACGGTACAGTTTGTTTGTCCAACCACATTCCATGTTCTACGTTATACATTCATAAACTTGATCCAGTACCTACACACTGTGTAAAGACCATAAAGCCTACAAACCAGAGATGGTGTTCCACAAGAACAGATGCTGGGTAGTGATAAGCAAAAAAATCACTAAGACATACACTGAATTGACAGCTTAGTGAAGACACTTCAAATGAAGTTAGACAGGAACAGTGACAAAAGCTCACAGGTGAGTAAAATAGTCACTACCTAGTAAGAGGGTCAGAAGGGGGTGGGGGGAATGGGAATTTGCATTGCAGCTACAGGGGAAGACAAGAAAAAAAAAACAGAACAACCTGCCAAATATCTGAGATTTTTTACACACTAATGTCAGAATAAAGGGAAATGCACAGGCCTTCTAACATGTAGCACAACTAAGTGGTCTAGCACAACTTAGACCCAAGACTTGAATATTGGTATAAAAGGTTCAACTTAACTGGGCAGAAAAGAGGGAGGCTTTGTTCCATAAAACATCAATTATGTACACACCTGCTCTGAAGCTGAAAAACAACGGTAGGCAACTGTCGATCCTTCCAGATCACGTTGTACATGAGAGGTCACCCAGATCTTTGACATGCATGCCTAAGGCAAAAGCATGGAAAAGTGGAGGCTGCCCACATTATATAGATGTAAGGCTGGAAGGGACCTCAGAAAAAAAAAATCACTAGATCCAGCTCCCCTGCACCAAGCAAGAAAGAGAACTGGGGGTCAGGTGACCCTGGCAAGGTGACTGTCTAGTCTCCTCTTGAAGATTTCCAGGGTAGGTGATTGCACCACCTCTGGAGGGAGCTTATTCCACAGTTTAGACACCCTGACTGTGAAGAAGTTTTTCCTAATGTTGAGCCTGAATCAATCTTCCAGGAGTTTGTGCCCATTACTCCTGGTTTTCTGCTCACGTGCCCTCGTGAACAGTTGCTCACCGAGCCCCTTGATGGACTTCCCTAGTGTACATCCCTAGGTAAGCTGCTACCTGGTGCCCTCTCAGCCTTGTTTTCCTCAGGCTGAAGACTCCCAGATCCCTCAGCCTTCCCTTGTATGGCTTGCCATGCAAGACTGATCATACGGGTGGCTGTTCTTTGGACTCTCTCAAGCTTGTTCACATCCTTGTTGAAGTGTGATGCAGTACTCCAGCTGTAGTCTCACCAGTGCTGAGTAGAGAGGAAGAATCACCTCCTTAGTTTTGCTGCAGATGCATCGATTGATGCATGCCAGAGTAGTATTTGCCCTACTGGCTATAGCATCACACTGCCAGCTCATATTCATACTGTGGTCTATTATTACCCCAGGTCCCTTTCATTTGTGGTGGTAGTCAGTTTGGTGCCACCAAGCCTGTAGGTGTATTGGGGGTTGCTCATCCCAAGGTGCAGCACTTTACATTTGTCAACGTTGAACTTCATCAGGTTCTGATCCACCCAACTTGCTGGCCTGCCTAGGTCCGCCTGTATCTGTAGCCTCTCTAAGTGTGACCACACTTCCCGATAACTTGGTGTCATCTGTGAACTTGGCCAGTGAGCTCTTCACCCCCACATCCAAATCATGAATAAAGATGTTGAAAAGTACTGGACGAAGCACTGACCCCTGTGGGACATAGCTGCCCACTTCGCCAGGATGATACAAATCCGTTCACTACAGCTCTCCGGGTCCTATCCTACAGCCAGTTTCTCACCCACCTGACTGTCTTGGAGTTAAGCCCACAAGCCTCCAATTTTCTCATGAGATTATCACGGGATACTCGGTCAAAGAAAGTAGTTGGTTGAAACTAGGTGAAAATTAAAGGCTTTTCAGTTACTCTGCATGAAAATGATCCTGACATGGAAAAGCCCATTCTAAGGAAAGAAAGCTGTAGAATAATGAAAAACTATTTCAGCAAAGCAGACTTTCAACAAGTCTGCTTTGCCCAGTGGTGTTCTGGGCAAACCACTATCTCCAGGTGAAAATAGTATAGGAAAAGCTCAATAACTGAAAGATATTATACACATTTAATGCTGTGCACTTATTCCAAAGCAGAAGAAACATAGAAATACACAAGACCATTATGGTTGAAGACCTGAAAATGAGAAAGGAATTTTATAAGTAAAAATAGGTACACACTCATCCTTACTTATAAAGGGAAATAGCACAAAGCATATTGGATACATCAGGAAGACTAACAAACAAAAAAAGGTTGCAGTTACCCAGGGACACAGAGGCAGTAAGAAGAGGTTGTATAAAAACATGAGAAAAGGAATGAAAACAGAAGTATATGTCCATGATTTAATGAGGAAAGAAAACAGTGAGTCCAAAGAAGGTTGAAATATTCAGTGTTTTGCTTGCTTCAGACTTCACAAGAAAGGGGAAAAAAATAGATGGCTAGATGCTAACAAAGAATTCAGCTACGCAAGGGGATAGATATTCTGGGAAACCCAATGAAAGAACGGGTAAAAGAATATTTAGATAAGCACGATTTATTCAAGTCTACAGAACCTTAAGTAATCTACAATGAAATTCATTAAGAACTAGCCAAAGCAAAAATTATCATTAATGATTCAGAAGTTAAGAACTCAGAGGATGAGGGAGGTCCAAGAGCAGAGTATCAGAGTACGCTCTCTAAGAATGCAAAAAGGAGAAGCTAGGGTATTGGAGCCAGCCTAATCTGAATACCTGGAAAGATACTAAAACAAAGGTTTTCAAACGTCTAAGCACCCAACAAATGGCAAAGAAGTTAAAAAAACTGATATATCAATCAATTCATGTTGGGTAGGGGTTCTGACAGTCCTACACGACGTTCTCATAAGCAAATTAAGTAGATGTGGTCTAGCTGAAATTGTTACGAGTTAGGTGCAAAATTGGGGGGGGGGGACACCACTCGGAAACTACTTAAAATGATTCTGCCAAAACTGGAAGGATATTCAAGCGGTGTTCCTGGATGAATCTGCCCCGAGTCTGGTTCTATTAATAATTAATATTTCCACCAACTACTTAAAAGATAGGAAAGAAGATGATAAACTAATATTTGCATATGGTATATAATATGCAAGCTCTCAAGCTGGGAGGGACTGCAACCCCATGGAAGACAAAATCAGAATTCAAAGTGATCCTGATAGATTATAAAAATGATCCAGACCACAACTGCAAATTATTACTCTAAGGACAAAAAAACCACAAAAATGCAAAATGGCAAGTGATGACCACAACAGCAGGGCTGCAGAAAAGGCTCTTGGGATTACAGTGGACCACAGAGTCAGCAATGGGATCCTGCAGCAACAAAAGGGCAGGTATTCTCCTGGGACATATTAACAGGAGCTGTGTTTGTAATGCACAAGAAATAATTATTCCATTCTACTTGGTGCTGATGAAGCCTGTTATAACATGTTCAGTTTGAGATATTACACCTTAAGAAAGAAATAGATAAACTAAAGAAAGAGTCCAGAGGAGCTACAAATGTGTGATGAGGTTTGGAAAAGATTAAGCTTATGAGGCAAGATTGAAGAAAATGGGTTTGTTTAGGAATGGAGAATACTGAAGGGAGATATGATAATCTTCTAATACTTAAAACATTAATAAGACTATGATTAATTGTTCTGTATAAATAGTGTCCCATTTCTAGTTCATACAAGAGACACAACATAAATTAGATATTAAGGAAATATCCACAAATGCAGTGAAGCACAGAAACAGGCTACCAAGGGAGGTTGAGGAATATTCTTCCTTTGTAACATTTTCAGGACAGACTCAGCAACTAATGTCAGGAACGGCGTAGGCACTGTAGATACTGAAATGCAATGGCTATAAGAGAACTTAAAAAGTTTCTTCAAGCCTTTTATTTCTGTGAAGTAATTCTGCAGGTCCAAATACATTTCCACTTTACTTGCAACAGGGGAATTAGCAAACTACATCTTCCTGTAAATCCCACCAGTATAAAAGAAATTACCCATAGAGCCCTGGCTAACTTTGTATTCATGGCACGATTAACACGCTAGTCATGCAGTAAGCTGTACTGTATCATATTCAGCCATGTATGTGGAGAGATAAAGTGGCAAACTAGATGTTCTATTAAATGTAAAACATATTTGTATCATGCCATAAAGTAAATGCATGGCAAGTGTCCTGTATCCAGGGGCTGCCCCCTACCCAGGGCTGCCCTTCATCAGGATTGGGCAGAGGGCACCCCCTGGGTTCAGGATACAGCTGCCCACTGACCCTTGAAAGGCAGGTAGTGCAGTAGGCACATGGTTTTAGATGCCCCGTGAATGTTTAAAGTCCCAGCACACAGACTGAACTGCATGCTTTAAGGGGCAGGGAGCAGCTGTGTCCCAGACCAAGGCAATGCCCCCTGCCCAGTCCCACCAACCAACTAATCAGTAGGACTAGTTCCCCAATGCCAGGCTGCCTGGAACACAGATTGTTTCAGATTGTGATCTTGGACTTCTTGCAGGCCAGCAAGTTAAAAAGAACACCACGCAGTCTGGCATCAGGGAACTAGTTCCCCAGTTTCAAGCTACCCAAAACAAGTTTTTAAAGGTCCAGCAACAAGTGGAGACCTGGATCAGGGACCAGGTCACCAATCTCAGGCTCCCTTCATCCTGGCAGATGCACAGTGGGATCTGATCCCAGATCCCTGGGAGAAAAAAATAAAACACACACATCCTGCCTTATACATCTGCCACAGCCCTTGGGCTCAACACCGAGAACAGTTCAACGATGCTAAAAGTTTGGCTGATTCTTTAGATGTGGCTATTTCATAATGACAGAGCAGCTGTACCAATGCAAGGCTTAGGAGCCTAAAATCAATATTTATAAAGGCTATTTTTAGTTTTTCTAGAAAATATTTATCTTATGTGTTGCATATTCAAAGGGACAGCAAAAAATGTACCTTTGTTGATGATGGTGGAGTGGGAAAATTAAGCCAGGCTGGAGCAAAGTCATGCTGCGCCATTTAGGTCCAGTCTCTCCGAACCAAAGAAACAAGGCTTCAACACCTCATGGCAAGTCCCTGTCATTTGAAAAAGGAAGTTGGTACATTTAGACTTGTATCTTAGGATAAAATTACTCATGTCACATTAAACTTATTTCCAATCATGTCTAAATTTGCTGGTACTATTTTCAATAGCAAGTCTAGAAATTAATATGGCCCCATCCCAATTAAAGCACCTCAATATTAAGGACTGTCTTCACAATACATCTGTAAAAAGTATGCCTATGTTATCTTCATATTACAACTGGACAACTAAGATTAAAAAAACCACAAGCAAGCCACCTAAGGCTAGACAGGAAGTCTGCAATAGTCCTGGATTCCCATCCATTGTCTTAATCACAAAGGACTCCCCCTCCTCCTCTCCCCCTTAGAGTCCATTTTTTCCAGATTCAAGCATCTACAGTTCAGTCTCAAAATCCATACTTAGGTACTTAGAGAGAGGCCTACTATTTAGAGTTAATAAGAACCCTAAATTCAGTGGGAATTGGGAGAACTCAGCACATGTGAAATACTGCTCTACTGTACTAGAATAAAATTTTCCCTGGATTGGTAGACAGTACAATTGTACTTAAATAGAAGTACTTCTTTTCAAAACTACCAATTTCCTCATTAGGAGTTAAATGCAAGCTCTGAAGATAAATGGCACTCATTTTGCTAGTGCAAAACTCAAATAAAGGTAATGAGATGCTATAAAAAAAAAAAAGGCATCTATAGCTCATACATGCGCTCTCTGTAATTTTAACTCAGAAATTGAAGCACAGAAGAATACACACTTTAAAACCCACATCAGGTGAGAGTGCAGAAGTTCTGTTTTTGTTACATCTTTTTAATATTTGCTATTAAAATGAACAAATGTTTCGACATGTATATATGTTGGGGACTGGAGATAGTTGAAAGTAATACTGGAGTGATTAAAACCTCCAAGCAATTCCTAAAATGAATAAGGTCTATTTTATTTATTTGGTTTATTAAGAGGATTGTTAAGATTACTACTCTCCAACACTTGCTCAAAAATATTATGAGACTTTGGGCCTAAGTAAGATTACCATTCATTAGAGATATAAACTACATTAGGAAAAAGTTATGTGCTGCCCAGCCAGCAAGGGAGTGCTTGTGGGCATGGGGCAGAGAGCATGAACATTGCCTCCCCACTCAGTCCAAAACCATCCTAAGGAAATAAACTCCACCAATTCACTCCAAATTAGGCTAAAAACAGATGCAGATAAATGAAAAAGATCAATGATGCATCACAGAACAGCTCATCTGCCTTACTGGGTTAAATGCACATCATCCCTTGCCCTGCCCTTGATGGTGCAGAACAAGGAGCAACGCAAATCGCCCTGTTTTCCCTGATCGGCCACATTTGTCTCCCATGATGGCTGAAGAGCAGATCTGGATGAGCAGGGAAACCAGGGCTTTCCTATTCAGACAGACTTCTTCCTGCGATCATAAGGGAAGAGTCTGGCTAAGTGGAGAACCCCAACACGCCTGCTTAGAGAGGCACCCCAAATTCTCTGAGGTGCCTAAGTGGGGTGTTCAGGGGGGCTTAAGGGCCCTAGAATACCTGCCCAGGGTGACTGGGGAGTAGGAGCAGCCTGCACTGCTCTACTCTCCTGCCACAGGGCTAATAGAAGTCCGCTACAATAAAGCAGCAGTCTACCTTTTGCTGCACTGGATGTGGTAGGACAAAGGGTAGCAATTATTAGCTCACCATTTGTGTGACCATAAAAATTTATGGCAGCACCCTCCAGCTGTATCCACGAGCGTGAACATTTGGTTCCCCAGCGACAAGTAGTAGCAGCACACCTTGCCACTCATGCTTTAGCACGCAGCAAGTTACCCCAGTGGGGTAGGGGAGGCTGGAGCCAGCACTGTGCTGGCCCAGGCAGCTTTACCTGGGGTCCTGGGGGCCTCCCAGGGCTGCAGCCGCAGCAATTTTGCTGTGTGGAGCCTGGGCACACCACACCACTTTTGAGTGGTATGCACTGCCTATGCATGCACTGCTCCACTTTTTTTCCTGCAGGTTTTTCTGACCCCTGGATATCCAGGGATCAAAAATCCCATGGGAAAAAAAAGAAGAGCAGCACACAAATGAGCAGCACTCCCTTGCAGCATGGAGATCATGTGAATGTGAGTTTTGTGGCGCTGCGGACATGTTTGCAGTGCCACATACTGCATGGACATTATCATCTGGACACAGCCTCTGTGTGCATTCATGTCCAGCAACATATACAGCTTAGAGAGGTCCTAGTTACACTGGTAGCTGCCTCTCAAGTTACTCTGACCTGAAGCCAAAAAAAAAGGGGGGGAGGGAAGGGCGAAGCATCACAAGTGTCAGTGGAGATAATCCAAATAAGTCGGTGGCTACACAACATATTGAAGTTACTAAATTACGTAACTGAGATCCACAATAGAACTTGGCCATATTTAGAAACCATCTCTAATAATATATTAATTAAAGCACCTTGCTAAATCACAATACCTTCATATTAAAATATAGCAGTTCATCTCATCCTAGTATAACCAGTCACCAGTTCAGGCAAATAATGGTGCAACAAAAGGTGAAATCAGCCACAAAATTATGACACTAAAAGAGCATGCAATAAATTTTGCACCTTGTTCCAATCACCTTAAAATGAATGTGTGGCCAAGAGGACTGCACCATGACTCAAACACGCCCCAGTGCGGTCCCTGCTGGCTGCCCATCAACTGACTGGCACCTCCGGGGGCTTGAACAGCCAAGTGGGTCTCTGGAGCCAGCCAACAATCAGGTGATAGTTGGCAAGTGTGTAACTTGGGCACCTGGGTGTAACTGTGGTATGATCCTGAATCCCAAAATTGCACATTTGTCTTTAAACATATAGCATGGCAGGAAGTGTGACTTCGGATCACAGATCAGATCCCATCATGCCTTTAACTGAACAGCTGTCAGAGGCTTAAGTGAACAGACCATATTAAGAGGATTATCATATTCCCAACCTTCAGCTTACCCAGTCCAAGCAGACAGAGCATTAAAAATTCTGAAAGCCCTTCAGAGATAGGCCAATGCAAAATACATCTCTACTCTAATAAATTCACTATTTAAAACCTCAAGCTGGTCCTTAGCAGTTGAGAAGTGTTAAATTAGTGTGCATTAAATACCACAGAAAAAAGGAACATATGTGGCCTCTTAATATATGACTTTCTAATTATTTCATATATGAAGTCCAGAATGAGCCAACCACGCAATACTCTTTGGATGAAACTAAAGTTGTTCAATGTACTTCCTAGTTTTAAGCAACACTTTTATAGAGAATTCAGTCAATTCTTAACGCAGTCTAGGTTGCTTAGCACAAATATGACATCCCTTTGTAAAGGTTTACTCAAATCATAAATTAATTTTCTGCAAAGAAATTAAGAGCCACCGCTGCTGAGTGCTATTTAGTGGCTTCCTGGCTCCCTGTGGAGTCGGGGAGGCAATACATTATATATTTATAAACTCAATACATTCTGTCCAAGACATTCACACTGCACAGCCTCTAACTATAGCATACACAATTTGTTGCAGTCAACAATCACATGCAGTTCACAGAAAAGAATCTGGGTTCTACTGCAGAACACAGCTGGCTCATGTGCAAGCTTGCAGTCTACACTAACCTCCAGCCCTGTTCAGTAGTACTGCAACCTTGCTAGTCCCTTGCCTTAGTTGTAGCACTTGGCTTGTCCCAAGTGAAATTAATTTCATTTTTGTCAGATAGTATTTCCAATTTATCCAAGTCATTCTGAATCAAAATAAATCAGCTCTAAAGTGTCTGCTACCCTCACCCAGTTTGGGGGTCCTCTACAAGTTTAGTAGCTTGGAGAATGGAGCTTCTAGTAAAGAAATACTGAACAAGAACTTGACCCAGGAGAGACCCCCACATCCCAAAAAACTCCACTTGCTACTTTCATCCAGTATGATATTGAACCACTGAATTACTGAGATACTGAACTCTTGGATAACTTTACTTTGCTGACCTGAAGAATGTCTTGCATTTGACAGTTTGACTTGACTATCCCATCTATGCAGTTGGTCCAATAAAAGATAACACCCAAAGAAATCCTTGCTTCTCTGAAGAGAGTAATCCAAATAGTCATGTACCCACTTGTCATAGTTTCATTTAGACCACATTTCCATAGCTCACTTAAGTGAATGCCATGGGAGACTAAAGCAAAAATTTTGAAAAGTACAAGATGTTGTGGCCACTACTCAGGCCACCCAAAGTCAGTCACTTCGTCACAAAAGGAAAGCAGACTGGCTAGAAATATTTTTATTATATGCTCCAGTATCTGAGTACTGAAATCAGACTGACCCTGATCAAAATAAATCCTTGATTTTTTTTTTTTTAAATAAAAAGATGGGCACCCTTTTCCAGTTTTCTTAGACCTATTGACTTCTAATGTTTTCAAAGAAAAAAAGCCCATGGCTTAACAATTACCTCAGCTAATTCAGAGAGTATTCACAGATGAATCCGATCACTGGTTGCAAGCAGCTATCACTGCTCCTGAACTGGAGACAATCAGGCCACAAAGCCAAAAACCAGGGGTCTGAACTTTACAAATTCTCAACACCGTAGTCAGAAGTACCAAACAAACTAATGCATCAACACTGTTATTTTAGATAACCCACAGATGCACAAAATGCCCCTGCAATAATCAAACTGCAGTAGACCAGAATTACATTTTTTAAGTCAATTATAAAGGTCTGAATGGATTATCTAGACCCATGTCAACAAGACAAGGCAGGAAGGTATGCTTAAGCAGGGTAGGCTTAGCAGGATTCGATTTTTATCAGTACAAGCTGATAAATGATTTCACCTCACACTCAGACTGATGAAAAAATATTTCCATCTTGAATAATCAAAATGTATAGAAAGGGGCTGATGGAGTGTGCGACAACAAGGGAAGCAATCCAACAGAACTGTGCTGACTGTAGTTTGGACAGCAACTCCCAGAAACCCCAGGGGACTGGGAACAAAGGAAAAAGCAAGAAAGCAGAT